GGATGATGATGATGCTAATGTTGACGAAGATTTTTGTGACGCCGAAGATGATGATGATGATGATGATGATGATGATGATGATGATGATTTGGATCATGATTATACTGATGATGTTGATTCCGGTGAAGCTTCGAATAATGGTGACGATGTTGATGATCAGGTTGACAATGATAATGATGATGCTGATGATGATGATGATGATGATTGTCATGATTCGCAAAATGATTCGAATCATGATGATGATAATGATGACTATGATACCGATCATACCATTATGAAAAATATGATGAACATGACGATGATTCGGAGGATGATGCCGATGTTGATAACGATGACGCTGATGAAGATGATGATAATGATGATGATTCAAATGATGATGGAAACGATGATGAGGATTATGATTATTCGGATGATGGTGAAGTCTATGCTGATGACCATGATGAAGACGATGATCTTTTTTGATGAAGATAATGATGATGTTGATGTTGATGATGTTTAGGATAATGGTGGTGATGCTCAGAATGATGATGATGATCATGGTAATTCGGATGATGATTCGAGTCATGAATATGATGAGGATGAAGAAGATGATTTGAAGACGATGACGAGGATGATGATGACGATGATGTAGCTGAAGATGGCGAAGTTTATGATGATGATGATGGTGTTGATGATGATGATATTCATAAAGATCATGATGATGATGATTCTGATTCGGATATTGATGATGATGATTCGAATGATGATGAAGATGATATGACTGATAACTACGATCACGATTAGAAGGACGGTTATCAGGATGATGATGAAGATGATTCGGAGTGAGATGATGAAGATGATAATGAAGAGGTTGTTTCACGATGAAGATCATGATGATGAATCAGATGATAATGATGATGATGTAAATGATTCGAAGGATGGTGATGTTTTTGATGATGATGATGATGATGATCAAGATGATGATGATGATGCGGATGATGATGATGATCAGACGAAAACTGATGATAATGATGATGTTGACGATGATGATGATGATGATGTTCATGATGATGATGGGGATGATGATGATGATGATTCGGATGATGTAGATGTTGATGATGATGAAGATGATGATGATGAATCGGATGATGAAGTTATTGAAGAGGATGGGGATGATGATGATGCTAATGTTGACGAAGATTTTTGTGACGCCGAAGATGATGATGATGACTCGGATGAGGATGTGGAGGTTTTCGTTGATGAAGATTAATCGCATGATGATGAGGACGAGAATGATGATGATGATGATGCTGATGATGACGCAGATGATGATTCGGATTATGATGATGATGATCTTGAGGACGATGATGTAAAAGATCATGTCGGTGAAGGTCACGTTGATGATTATGACGTTGATGGTGATGATTCGGATGACGGTAATGATGATGATGATGGAGATGATGAAGATGATGATGGAGATGATGACGATGATGATTCGTCTGATGAAGAGGATGATGATGAAGATGATGGCGATGATGATGATGAAGGTCATGATGAAGGGGATGATGATGATTCGGATGATGATGATGACGATGACAGTGATGAATTGTGTGATGGAGATGACGATGATGATGATGCTGATGGTTATGATGATGATGATTTTGTTGATGACTCGGATTACTCGGATGACGAAGATGAGGGTGAAGATGGTGATGATGCTTATTATGATGATGATGATGATGATGATGATGACTCGGATGACAATGCGTATGTTGAATCGGATGATCATGATGATGATGATGATTCGGATGATAGAGATCTCTATGATGATGACGAGTATGAAGATGATGATTCGGTTGATGATGATTACTCGGATGATAACGATGATGATGATGATGATAATACTTCGGTTATGACTCGGATGATGACGAAACGAATATGATGTAAAGAGGATTGTTATAATGATGTTGATGATTATGATGGTGTCGAAGATGACGAAAATGATGATGATGATGCTGAAGATGATGATAATGATAATGATGATGATGATGACGATGGTCATGATGACGATGATCCTGATGATTATGATAACGACGGGGATGTTTCGGATGATTTGGATGATGATGACGATTACATGGACGATGTAACGGATGATGATGACGACGATGATTAGGACGATGATGATGATTCGCATGACGATAATGGTGAGGATGTTGATGATGAGGATGATGACTTGCAAGACATAGATAATGATGACGTTGTTCATCATGATGACGATGATGAAGATGATGATGATGATGATGTTGAGCCGGATGATGACGAAGATGACGATGATGAGGATGATGCTGATTATTTGAATAATGCTGACGATAATGATGATGACGACGATGAATCGGACGACGTTGATGATAATGATGAGGTTGATGATGATGGAGAAAATGACTATGATGTTGTTGCTGATGATGTTGATTTAGATGATGTTGATGATGATGATGATAATGTTTCAGATGATGATGATGAATGTGAAGTTGATGATGATGGAGATCAGGATGATTATTCGGATGGTGATGATGTTGATTATGGAAACGTTGAAATTGAGTATGTTGATGATGATGACGTTGAAACGGAGGATAACGAAGATTGTGGTGTTGATGAGTACGAAATCATGAGGATGATTATGACGATGTAGATGGGAACGATGATGATGATGATGATGATGATGATGATGATGAAGATGATAATGATGATGATAATGATAATGATGACGAACTTGATGATGATGATGATGATGATGAATCGGATTATGAATAATTCAACGATCATTCTGTGGACGATGATGATTTGGATGAGGATGATCACGGCGATCACGATGAAATCGATGATGATGATGATGATGGTGCTTGTGATGATGATGATCATGATGAAGGACAAGGTGATTATTCGGATGAAGATAATGATGATCATGATGATGAATTTGATGATGCCGATGATGACGGAGAAGAAGTAGATGTTGCTTCGGATGATGATGATGCTGATCTCCATGAAACGGATCATGGAGTTGAGGTGGATGACGAGGCTTCGAATGCGTATGAACATGATTACGATGACTGTGATGATTTGATTGATGATGATGATCCGGAAGATGACGTTGACTTTGATTACATTGGTGATGTTTGGGAAGATCAGGATGAACATTCGGACGATGATGTTGATGATGATATTTCTGATGATGATGATGATGATCATGATGATGATCATGATCATGATCATGATCATGATGATTATGATCAGTCCGATTATGGAGAATATGATTAAGTTTTCTGTTGATGAAGGTAAATTGGATAAGGATGATGATGATGATAATGAGGATGATGATGATCAACATGATGATCATGATGAAGATGTTATCGTTGACGATGAAGTTGATGATGATGATATTGAGGTGGATGATGATGATGTTGATGATGATGTTGATATAGTTGATGTTGATGACGATTTTGGTGATGATGACTATCATGTTGACGTTCATCACGAAGTTGATGATGATGATCATGAGGATGATGATGAAGAAGATATCGATGATGATGATGATGATGATGACGCTAAAGACGATGATGATGATGATGATGATGATGATGATGATGATGATGATGATGATGATGATGACCATTCGGATATTGATGATGGCGATGAGGAGGATGAAAACGATTATGATGACGATGATAATGATGATACGAATGATGATGATGATGATGTTGATTCGGTTGATGATTATAATGTTCTTGATGATGATAGAGTTGATGCTAATGACGATGATGATTCCGATCATGGTGATCAGGTTGCTGATGATGTAAATGGTTCGAAAGATGAGTGTGTTGATGATGATGATTATGAAGTTGATCTTGATGAGGATGATGACGCAGAGCATGTTGAGTCAGACCATGTTGATGTTGAGGATAAGGAAGATTCGGTGGATGATGGTGATGATGATTTAATATTAATTCGGATGCTGCTCATGATGATGATGATCATGATGATGTTGGTTGGGATGATGATGATGATGACAATAGTTTCGATGGTGATGGAGAAGACGATGACGATGAAGATGACGATGATGATGACGATGATGATGACGATGATGATATGAATGATGATGGTGATGATGATGATGACGAGAATGATGAGAATGATTCGAATGATGACGATGACGACGATGATTCGGTAGAAGATGTTGATGAAGATGGTGACGACGGTGATCATTGTGAGGATGATGATGATGATGATGATAATAAGGACGACGATGGTGACGATCATTATGATGCTGATGTTGATGCTTCGGATGGTGATTGCGATCAAGTTATTGATGATGTTGATGATGATGATGATGATGATGACGATGATGATGATGGTTCGGGTGATGATGTTGATGAAATTGATGATGATGATGATGATGATGATGATGATGATGCTGATGATGATGATGCTGATGATGATAATGATGGTGATGATTCGGTTGATGATGATGATAATGATGATGATGATGATGTTGATGATGATGATGGTGATGAAGTTGATGTTGATGATCATGGTTCGGATGTTGATGATGAATGATAATGCTGATGATGATGATGATGATGATGATGATGACGATGATGATAATGGGGCTGATGATGATGCTGAGGCTGATGATGATGCTGAATAATACGATGAAGTTCATTTTGATCATGTGTCGAATGATGATGATGATTTGGATGATGATGATGATGATTATTCTGATCGTGAATCGGGAGATGATGATTACCTGGATAATTTGGAAGGTGATGATGATGACTCGAATGATGACTCGGATCAATGTTTATGACGATTATGACGAGGCCAGTGATGATGGTGATAATGACAATGATGAATATCAAGATCATGAATAGAAAGTCGACGTTTATTTGGAATATTCGGATGATGATGATGTTGATGATGACTCAGAGGATGAATCGGCTTAGGATGACTATGGTGATGACGATGATGAGGATGATGATGATGATGATTCGCATCATGATGCCGATGATGAAGGTGATGATGCTGATTCGGGAGTTGATGACGATGGTAATGACGATTCGGATGGTAATGATGATGAGTATCAGGATTCGGTTTATGATGATGACGATTGGAAAGATGACAGAAATCATCTTCACGATGCTGATGATGATGATGATGATGATTATGATGATGATGATGTGGATGAGTCTGAGGATGATGATGATGATGATGATGATGAGGCTGATGCTGACGATGATAATGACGACGGACAACGTTATGATCATCATTCGAATGATGACGATTATTTGGAAGACTTGGATGATTATGATGATGACTCGGATGACGGTTCGCATGACGATGATGAAAGTGAACGTCATGACGACGTTGAAAATCGTGATGACTCGAAAATGATGATGATGACGATGATGATGTTCATGATATTCGTGAAAATAATGATGATTACAATGATGATGATGATGATGATGAAGATGATGATGATTCGGATGACGATAATGGTGATGACGAAAACGACGATGATTCGGATGAGTGATGATGATCATTACGCGGCTGACAATGATGATGATAATGACGATGATGCAGAAGATGATCATGAAACAAAAGATGATAATTATTTGGATTATTCCGAATACGATGATGATGATGATGACTTAGAAGATGCTTCGGATTATGATGACGATGGTGACGATGACGGTGACGATAATGATGATGATGACTCGGATTATGAAATTGATGACGAGGGTGAGTACGATGATGATGATCTTGATGATTCGAATATTGATGACGATGATAGTGACGATTCGAATTCTGATGAGGATGATTATGATGATTCGTTATCTGATGACGACGATTCGAATGACGATAAGGATGATGTTCACGATGATGAAGATGGTGATGAGGATGATGATGATGATTATGATTATGATGATTCGGATGATGATGATGATGATGATGACGATTATGATCATGAATCGAATGTTGATGATGATGATGATGACTCGGATAATGATACGGATGATCATGATGATGGTGATAATGATGATGACGATGATGATAATAATGATGAGTGTAACTGCCGGATTTGCAAGCGGTTGCAGAAGTCGCGGAACTGAGCCGAGGTG